TTTAATTCAGGCTGACTCTCTAAGCGATTTTCAAGAGTATAAAATCGTTTCAATGCCATTTTACCTGAAGTTCCTAATTGAGATAGGGTCTTATTAAAAGGAAGTCTGACTACGTACCGACCTTGCTCATCGCGATACGTATTGTCCTGAAAGTGTTGCTCGCATGCCTTCTCTTCGACGGAAAAATGCTTTTCACTTGGACATTCCTCTATCTTCCAAAAATTTGCAACCTGATCATTGAGATCGTGGTTGGCCAGATGACACTTAGCGCTCCTAAATGAGTTGTGCTGACAATTGGTTTCTCCCGAGATTAGCCAGCCTAATCGCGTCTTTTGTAATACGCACCTCCCATTAGGTAGCCTGATTTGTCCTACGCATAATAACTTGTAGAAGAGGTATTCTCCTAGCAGAGCTTCAATAGCTGCTGGTTTATTGAATTCCGGATCTGCTAACTTTATATTGCTTGGGATGGGTATACCTGACCGATCTACGTGTCGAGAGGGTAGACGACCCGTTATTGACGGTAATACTAAAAACGTTACGTTTTCCGAGAAGCTGGCTATTCTAGATTTAATAGTGCTCTTTGCGCAATATCTAATACTGTTACTAGTATTCCCGAGTCCCGTAACTGGCATATTGATCGCGTGCAAATTTAAACCCAAAGTTTGAAGTTGCTATTACTTGGAATGACCAAAAAATAAAGACCCAAGTTCTTTAACTTTTTTATCCGAGTCTATAACAAAAATTTAAAAATTGCATTTTATAGAATTCGATAAGTTATATGCACACTGAAAATTTCATCGAAATCAGATGACCTTGACAGAAGCTGTAAACAATTAAAGATAGCGAGAATCGCAGTTTTGTGTCAATTTTTGATTCATCTGATCAATAACTGTAAAAAATCAGCAGTTTTAAAAATGTATTAACCATGTATTAACCATTTTCGATGAAAATCTCAGCATGCATACAAGTTACCGACATCTGCAAAATGCATTTTTTAAATTTTCGGGCAAATTTTATAGGCTCACATAAAAAAGATGAAAAACAACATTTTTTAATTCTTTTATTATATCAACAAATTGTAATTTTTTAAAATAATTTTTCAGCCATTATCTAATAAACTAATCACTCTAACATTCCCCCAAAAATTTAGATCACTTGACCTAGTTATAAAAAAGTTATTCCGTTTTAAAAGGTGTACGAATTGCTTCTACACCCGCTGTATCACATTACACGAATAAAATTAAAAATTTTCTTTTCTTTCTATCGGCTAGAAACCGAGTCGTTTATAGGTAATACAATTGATGTAATTATAATTTTCTATTTTGACATCAGAAAAAAATTATTAAATATAACACATTCCTTTGTTGAAATTAACGTAGTAGTCACGGGTATGTATTGGGTTGGCGAGAAATAATTTCGGTTTACATCAATAGATAACTTTATGTTTATATTGTCATTTTTTTGTTAAGGTTATAATTTTTTTGTCTTCAGCTTTGGTAGTTGACACGTTTAGGTTACTATAGAAACAAATTCCGTGTAGTTTTGTTTACAACTGATAGTTTGTAATTAATTTTAATATGGAGGGCAAAAATGAATATTTTTGACAGATTTTACCTTTTCTTACTGGTAAGGACCAGAAGTTTTATGAACGCGTTACCAGAAAGATGGCAAAAGGTTATCAAACAGAATGAAAAATATTTGACTGATTAAAGTTCATTTCTTGTATAGAAAAAATTGAGTTTTATCTGACAACAAAAATAAAAAAACTCTCGTCTTTTAACTTTTTTATCTGAGCCTATAACGAAAATTTAAATTCTCTCGCCAAGGTGTGAAACTCCATGCAAAACTATCCGTTGCAACGATTGCGGGGCCAAAGATTTTATGATATCATTGTTTGTATCGCAAAATAATAAAATATTGAACTCTGTAAAATAAACTTTCTTTTACTGAATATCGGAAATGTTTAACGACGCTATAAATTGCTAGTAGCTCGCGATCGTTAGCACTATACATAGGGTGTAGCACGTAACTGTCGCCATGATTTTTGAGGCACTTTCGACAGCCTGATAAAAAAATGTTTTCAATGAAAGTAAACCATTATTTAGTCGATCACGTACTGAAATATAACAAATTTCAAAAACTATTGTTTTCCGACTAAAAGTTAAGGTCACCTTGACTTTTTTAAATAGCATCCTATATTTTTTACTTCGTAGAGTTATTGCTGATGAAAGAACGAATTCAACGACCTACTATACAATGTCCTTCAGATAATCTTGACTTCAGCAATTTAGGGTTGAATAACAAAAGCGTTAATGTCGAAAGCTATTTTATTTCAATGAATTTACAATAAGTGCTCGAAGTAGTAGTCCCCTGACTTGTCTCCACTAGACTTCTTTTGGTGCTGTTTAAAAAAGTCAAGGTGACCCTGACTTTTAATCGAAAAACAATAGTTTTTGAAATTTGTTATATTTCAGTATGCAGTCAACTAAATACTGATTAATTTTCATTGGAAACACTTTTTTGTCAGACTGTCGAAAATGTTTGAAAAATCATGATGACAGATATGTGCTACCCCCTGTACATTTCATATTTAAACCTCCCAACTTATCGCCACTTGCCAGAGCATGTAATACAGTAGCGCTATAGTTAATCGCAACGTTTAATTTCTGTATTACATATAAGTAAGGAACAAAAGTGTCCACACACCTTTTAAAGCGATATATCTTCCTTAAAACTGGTCTAACTGACTTAAATATTTTTATAAATGTTAGAGGAACTATTTCACTATACAGTGACTACAATGACTCCTTCTTTGTTTTTAATTTTACTACTACTTGGAATAAAAAAATGTAAAAAAACTCTCGTTTCTTTACTTTTTTTATCTGAGATAATAATGAAATTTTAAAAAATGCATTTTGTAGATCTCAGTAACTTATATACCTGCTGAAAATTTCATTGAAATCGCTTGACGCATAATTAAGCTACACCCACTGAAAGATGTAAAAATTACGTTGTTGTTTGGAATTCATGAGGTCCGAGGTCTACAAACGACAATTTCAAATATCAACATTTATTTAAATAATATATTTTCTGCTTAATAAATTTTGGTTTTGTATAAATAAATTATTTTTTGCTAAAAAGTATTTTTTGTATTTTTTTGAACATTTGTGTGCGGGTAAATATGAAATATGAATAAACTGAAATTTAGTTCCTTTCTTAACATTTTTAGAACCAAGAAACAGTTGAACATCCAAATATTGGATACAATTATTTACCACCCTTAATAAACGGTATTTCGAACATGAATAGATTATTGTTGGCCCCACCATAAATTTTATTTTCGTCGACTAAAATGTAATGCTTATTTTTGTTTAAATATTTTTAATTTTTTAAATAAGTATATGTCATTACTGACATATTTTTGTTATTTCATTAAGTGTAATAAAATTCATTGATTTCAAAATTATGGATTATCCTTGTTTGAAAGCCTGAACAGCCAGTTTTCAATTATTACTCATTACTCATACGACTTTTCAGACTCTTCCAGTGACGTGACAAAAAATATTTCCTACAAAAAATAATCAGTTACAAATCTCACACTTTTGCTTCTTACTGTATATTCACTACATAATACCTACGTGTGGCAATTTCATTTTGCAACTGAATTTGTTCATGTCAAGAAACAGTTGTATCGTTAAAATAAAATGAATAAATCATGAGAATATTTGAAACTTGAGTATCATAACATAATGTTTAGTTAGGTTATGTTTCAGTTAGTGACAAATCTCACAGTTACGTAGCCGTAATGGTAAGATAGGTATGACGACTTAATCAGCTGGACATTTTAAATTTCGATAGACTTGTTATAAACCGTGAATGTAATACGATTAATTATTTATTTAAAAATTAATTTCTTATGATTAATAAAATACATCTTTATGTGCACTTTTTTATAAGTATGCGTGTCGTTTAATTTTGTTTTCCTCATTATTTATTAACCTACGTTTAGTAAGCGTGGAATGTTTGACATTTAAAGTGTTCACAATATTCTCAAAGCAAATGTAAATATCTTACTATAAATATCGAAATTGATGTGATGACATGTATTTATTCAAGAACGAACGCGAGAAAAAAGACACATGGTAAGTACGTTGATTGGTTAACATGATGACATATTTTTCAGCGTATATTTTTATTACTTGGGAAATACATAAAGTGGCCTTTATATGCATGTATTATATGGAATACAAATAAAACTATCGTAAAAAGCAAGGTTAAACTTCTTCGGAAAAAAGTACCGCCCTTTATTATCATTACTTCTCTTTTAAAGAATTTTTATTGAAACGAGCGGAATTGTCAATCATTTTCAATTTGATAATTGGATTAAGTTGTTATAGAAGTAAGTATAAAATTTATGAAATTCTTTTCAATGTGTTATCATGAAGTTAATTATGAATCTAATATAAGCAACAGTCATTGTGTTTTTTTTAGCTAGATACATTAACAATAATATTAATGTTCCAGACATGGGACATTTCTATTTATTCAGAGTATAGTAAAATTACTTTTTATACGTAATCTTAATACAGTCAGACCTTGTATCTTGAACGCTAAAAAGAACTCTGACTTACGGAGCTGTCAAGTTGAAGTAGTTTAATAAACAAAATTTCAACTTTTAGAAACTATATATAATAGTTTTTACTACTGATCCTTTAGCCTCAATAATTTTATCTTTGCACTACTTAAATTATGTTGGTGACATATCTATCATATCTTTTTCTCTTGTAATGTAATACAAATTAAAAGAATAAATATTCCAGTTGTTCCCTTAAATCTCCCCAATTAAAATCTAAAATATTCTCAGCAACGATACATTTTCTATCACATAATAATATAAGATTATAAAAATATAGAACATAATACTTTACTTAATAAAAATATATAGTTTGATAGTATCTATGAGGTGTTTAGATAATTGATTTAATATACATCCTATGTTGAAGGAGAAATAAATAATACCTAGTGAGCATAATATCTAGCAAAAAATTAAACATCCCACTCTCATTTGGATCAAACAAAATAATTTTAAGATGCTATTCAT